CTATTGCGGCCACTAAGACGACGAGCCAGACTACTGCTGCTCTGCTGCAGCTGCTGGTTCCCGCTGGTTCCTGCTGCTGCTGCTGCTGCTGCTGCTGCTGCTACTGCCACTGCTACTGCTTCTGCTACCCTATTACTGGTATTATTATTATTACTACTACTACTGCTACTGCTACTGCTACTGCTACTACTACTACTACTACTACTACTACTACTTCTACTTCTACTACTACTTCTACTGCTACTGCTGCTGCTACTGACACTGCTACTGCTACTGCTACTGCTATTACCACTGCTGCCACTGGTACTGCTGCTGCTGCCACTGCTACTACTGGTACTGCTACTGCTACCACAACCACCACCACCACCACCACCACCACTACTATCACTGTTACCAAAAGTTACCAAGGTTGCTACAAGTACTATAAGTTGTGCGTCTACTTGTAACTACAGTACTTCTACCCGTACTTCTACTGCTTTTACTACGTGTGTTTGTGCACGTGTGTCAATGCAAAATGCCATCATCATACCGTCATACTGTATGGAAAGATAGTATGGAAATGGTGTTATGCTTGTTGCTGTTGCACGATCTTTGCCGCCGAGATACCACTGCGCTCAATCCGCAACTCTACATTGTCTTTGCCCTGCTCTGCAGACTGGTTGGAAACGGCCCTTCTCCAGTGTATCCTGGTCAAAGGAACCTTGGCATCGCAAACCACTTCTTGAGGCTCTCACCTTGCACTTCACCCCTAAAGGATTCAAAAGCGTTTCACAAAGACATCCAGCGGTGCTACGGCCTTCGAATTCGCATGACCCCGTGAAGGCAGCAAAGCAGCGAGTCCGGGATCGTTGGTGTACAAGGAGCCTCTGGCAGCCTTGCACCTGCATCAAGAATGAATCGAGCTCCCACGGGACACCAGAGACATCGCTCCCGACCAAGGCACACTGTCTCCTCCAGATCGACATGTCGGCTTCTGCCGGAGCGCTTGAGCTTGATGGGAAGGCACTTGTTCTCTCTGAAATGCACCTTGTGAATTCGTCAGGTTCCACGCTTGTCGCGCGGAGTGATGTTATCAATCGACCAGGCCAGGCCACTTGATGGAGACACCAGCTGGGAAATCCCATCCGGACTGCTGCCCTCGGAACGACTTCTGGGCTGATGTTTGATTTGTCTGCGCTGCCCACGCGGTCGTTTTGAACCGCTCTCTGCAGGTGACAGCAAGCAGCAGTGCAGCTAAGCATCGGTGGCTTCACCATCCAGCAACAGAATAAAACTTTGAGCCAGCGGGCCGATTTCGGACAAGCGTCTTCTGTGAGTCTTGCTGCGAATCTACTGAATGAGCAAGTCCGGCTTACATGGACTCAATTCTGGCAATCGCACTCCATTGCAACAGCAACAAATACCAACTCCCTTGCGAGGTTGGTCTCTGTCACACTGCCCATGCTGCCAGCACAAGGCAAAGCCCGGGTGTGACGCTGCAGGTCTTGCTGGAGCTCCGCAGTCCGGGCATACCTGTGGTGCATCTGAGATTTCAGCGAGACAGGCCGCTATGCCGGCCAAACTCCGCACCCCCCTACTGCTATGTAGGCAGATTCGGCGAGCTCTGAATTCAAATCCGTGCACCAATCTGTAGTGCATAGCATGAAATCCCTTCCTGCAAGTCAGGCTGGTGCCCAAAAAGTGCACATTCCCAGATCCGAAACGCGAGGTCACTAGGTCCCACACCCCGAACTCCAGACCCTTACAGAACCGCGCTGTTGCGATGCTCGTGCACAGATTCACTCAAGCCGAAGCGCCGGCAGCGACCCCCGTGCACGATAGAGAGCAGGATATCTCCTCGTGCGGGGCTGTCGTGAAGTTGACGCCACGCGGACGGAAGAGGGATCTCAACGCACTCGACCAGGTATAAGCTCACTAGACTTGGCACTGGAACTTTACATAAGCTTTCAGACTCAGAGTGTTGGGCTTACGCTCGACGGGCTTGGGCCGCACAACCCAGGCTTCAGAGCCAGGAAAGCCCAGAGAGTATGTTCAATCCAAGTCTTCAGAACGAAGGGACGCAGGCCTACGTGCTTAAGCCTGCCGCAGGGCCATGGGTTGCGAGTCTCTTCTGTACTTCAGATCTGTAAACACAAAAGGCTCGTTGAGGCACTGTATTCAAGGATTGAGAGAAGCTGTAACGGACTTCCGGATGTCGGCAGCGCAACACCGCAAGGTTAGCATAGGCCGAATGTCAGTTTCTCAACCGGATCTCCAGGCTGAAAATCGATCTGAGATTTCGGCAACTCTCCAGCCGCTGCAAGAGCCTGTGGCGAACATGTAATCATGCATGCGTATGCTGTGCCTTTCAGCAGTGGACTCGACAACGCCGCGTTGTGCTGTCCCGCACATGCCCTCAGTCCGTAACACACAGGAACCGATTCCTCGCACATGCTCACGGAACTGCGTATGCCAATCCGAAGAACCCAACAGCCTGTAGCTGCTTCTCGTTGGGGGGCTCTGGGATCCTCAGCCCGGCTACGGAGTATACGCAAGCCTAGGTGAATAATTCAGTTCTCCTTGCAAAACTCCGATCATGGCGAACTGAGCTCGCAACTCCAGCTTCTCATCTTAGCGAAAAGCGTGCAGTCAAGACCCCGATGAGACATGGGCGAGGTCACGAAGCTCGTCTTTCCGACGGAGACTGCCAAAGTCATGCAAACGAAGGCAAACGTCACGAGGAGAAGGCACAAATCCTCCTCAGCGGGCCAAACCTGGTGGGGCACTTCAGTCAATGTCGGGCTTAATGAGAAGTGTGGGTACAAGTCATAGTAGTAGGCTTTAGCAGTCGTGGATGAAAGCGCAAGGCTGCAAACTTCACTAGTTTCGGCTGCAGCCGCGACTAGTAAAATCCTGCGACAGACTCGAGCTGCCTTCTTGGTGCAGCCCACAGAGCATTGCAGGAAGCCTCGCAGCACTGCTGAGGAGTGCCCAGAAGTAACCAACCCGCACTCAAGTGCAAGTAGGCCTGTGCGCCCATGAAGCTCGAGTAGCGCCGTCTCCGGCCATTCTGGTCAAAGGGATTCAGGATGCCCATTGGTTGAGACATGCTTCATGGCAAATTCTGGGCCTAAACCCTTCTGCAGCCATGCGCCATCCACCTCCGAATGAGAGCGCCCGGCAGCATCAAACAAGTTAAGGAGGCTTCTCAGCTCCAGGCTGCAGTTGAGATGCAAAAAGCGCCCAAAGGTGCCCGCGTGGCATAATTCAAAACCTGGGCGGAGAACGCGGGCTTGCACAGCCAGCACACTGGAGCCGGGGCGCCTGTTTGTATGGTTTCAACGCATCGTCCGGTGGGTTGCTGTATCTCCTGGCAGTGCGAGGGGATGCATTGCTGAAATCTTCCACGTAACAGAGAGCCTCTGGAGAGTGCCCCACAAAGCCCAGGCCAAGTATGGATCCTCGCTTCAAAGGTTGCACATCCACAAAAAAATCTGGATGCTCTCACGCGCCTTGAGACAGGTGTCTTCAGAATCATCCTGCGCCTTCAACTGACGAGGGGTATGCTTGAGCTTGTGGGTCTACAAAACAACATAGCTGCGTGTCCACGTAGCCTCCAAGAAACAATTCGCACAATACACCTCTTCCAGCGGGAAGCCTGCAAAGTCCTCGAAATATCAAGTTCAACCCAAGTCGCAAAACTTCTGTATGCAAAGCTTTTCTTTGAGGCGTCCGCCCGCAAAGCTTCCGGGCCTTCAAAGGTTGGGAAACCACCATGAGCGCCTGGCACAACAACGAAGATATGAAACCTGCTGAAACTTAGCAATGGTCATGTCGTGCAATGTCGACTGCGATCACTGACTGAGGCTTCTTCTGTTTTGCAGCGTGCCTAAGCCGGCGCCCGCACCTATCAGAAGCGCATCAGCCTCGGCCGGCTTCAAGCAAAGGAGGATTTCGCAGCCGCCCTGCCCCCCCCCCCCCGCCGCTCCCGGAGTACGCAAGTTGGGCCCGAAACCGAGCGCAACCAATCGGCTGCGTGAACTACTTCCTCCAATCTCCACTGAATGCAAGCCACGAGCCAAAGTGCAGTCCGCACATGCTGAAACAAATTTGGTCATGACGGCTGGCCAGATTGCAGCGCAAAAAAATCACTGACAATGTCTCCTGCGGCGATTCTCGGAGATCTGCCTGTGGTTCAACATGGCCGGCAATCACACCGCTCTTCAACAAACTTCGCTTTCTGCACTCCCACTTTGATACCCTTCATTTCAACCTGCCGCCTAGAAGCATCGAAACAAAGCATGCACACAAAATAACCCAACTTGCCCTCGAGGCCTTGCTTCCTTGACCTTTGGACTGGGTTCTTACGGCAATTTTCGCGAGGTCAAATCCTGCTTCTGATCTGCTTCATGAGAACTCGAGGGGCCATGACTTCGTACTTCACTGCCAGCCCTCTACCAGCCACACATCGCTCTGTTGCTCCCCTGATCTGCCCTGCCTCGGCCCTGTGCGCCGCATGCATCCTGCCGGGCTAAAAACCGTTGTCGCTGCCAGCGATGACTTCCATGTCCGCACTTGCATGGGTAGCCTGGTCAGCTCCGTTCGCAGGCCTGAGGCAGCAAGCCCCCAAAGCAGCCAACATGAAAATGACACTGCGCACTGCACAGGCAAACGGGTGCGACATCATTGCCGGTGACAGTGGACCCGTCTGTGTCAATGATGATCTATCTGCTCGGCAGCTAAGGCAGCAGCTGCCCCTCATTGGCAAAGATGTCGGCGGCATGGCCTGACAGAAGAAACTGCATCAGAAGGAAAAGCAGAATCCTTTCTGAAACTGGCCATGTCAATGAGACAATTACGGCCACACTAGCTGTGCTATTGTTGGCGTTTTGAGGACGACCGTGGAAGTGAGCACAGCCTTGCCACCGTCGCCACCCTTTCTGTGAATACTGCTGTGGCGGTAATACTGTGTTGGTAGTACTTGCTCATACCTTACTCCTACTGTTGAACGTGTTGCCCAACTGCCAGTAGTGTTTGTGCGTTTCACTGGTCACAAAGTCGGAAAGGCAAGCCTTTGAGAACAGCCGTAGCTTCAAGACAAGCTGAGTAACCACCGTGATGATGTCCAGCTTGCTTCTTCTTCCAATTTCCAACCTCTTTCGTACTACCACTACTTTGTCTACGATTATGGCAAAAGCCAGTCGAACTGCAGCTACTAGGGCCGGTCTTAAAACTTCCATGCCTCTTCCAAGTGGAATGTGCTTCCTCCGGCTACTCCACCACCACCAGCACCATCAAGACAACCCCACGAAACCACTGCAACCTCTGCTCGCATTACCACCGCCGCTATTGCCAACTCTTCCTACTAGTATTTCTCGACTGCTATTACTCCGGCCACCTCTACTACTGCTACGTGCTGACTGCTACTGCTACGCCTAAGACTACGACTGCTGCCACTTCTTTCTGCTACGCTACTGCGTAGTTACTACTACTACTACTACTACTACTACTACTACTACTACTGCTACTGCTACTACTCCTACTACTGCTACT